ATGAACTGTGGGACAGACGCCTTTAGCAAGGGCTGAATCATCACTGATTGTGTTGCTGAATGGACGAGAAACCCGGCAAGCTGTCCCAGCGCCATGGTAACTCAGCAACAAGGACAACCACCATCCGTTCTACTCGACTAGTTACGCTAACGAAGGTTGAGCTCCAGCTCTTAGGCCCCAAATGTCAAACATACAGGTTGGTACAAAAGTAGATGACTTCTGACTCCTGTTAGCAGGCTGAAAACTTTCCTTTCACATTGTACATGATAATCTTTACCCATTAATTTTCCCTGGAACAAGACCCACCAACCGGTTAACAACCGGTACCCAATTTCTGCTGAATGAACAGAGGCGAACAGTAAGGATTGGCGTCTAGTCAGCATGTTCTGCCAAGGAATCAGACTAAATCGCTCGCAAAGATTTAGATGGATCACAAATGGTGGAGTGTGTTACTAATGTGCCACAAGGAACCTTTGGAGCAGCATTCACTACACTCGAAGTGGTGTATGGAGTCTGATTTGTGTTTGCAGGCTGACAGCTTTCCCATCCTTTAGCTCATCATAAACCTTGTCCTACTGGTCTTCCCTGCAACACGACCTGTAACAACCTGCAACAAGGTGGTGGTGGCTTACAACCAGGTCATCGATTACTGCTCTGTTAACAGTTAAGAATGGTACCAGCCAACCCTCCCTGTCCAAGGCCAGACGCCAGCAGACATCACTCGAGAGACGAGGAGGGAGCACGAAATATGTAAGGGTCTCATAGCACAGTTGGCTTCGTTCTCGACTTACAATCGGGGATCCCGAGTGGGACAGAAATGGCTGAGCATATTTCCTTTCACGTAATGCCTCTACTTACCTAGCATTAAATAAATACCAGGGAGTTAGGTAACTGTTGTGGGGTTGCATCCTGTATGAGACCACTCATTGGCTAGGCTTCCCAACCCTGACGAATGGGAACCAAAATCATATCTATTCGATTCCGTCCTCGTTTTGTTTGGCTCTTTCAATAGTCTTTTTATTGTGTACCTTCCATTCACAACTATTAACAACACCGAAATTCAGAACATTAATATTTAATTTTCCTAACCGGACTGTTCCAGTGACGCAGGGCGGGTCCAACACTCATGGACTAGTGTTTTATAGTAATTTTCAGGTGAAAAACTATAATTGTGGCTGGTAAAACACGGGGTGGAGACATGTAGTGACGGTTGTATGGCCCAAACATGGCCAGGTGCCACCCTTAACTGTTGGTCATTGTGTCTGGCACCACCACCACGGACGCCCAGTGCCTCCACTATATATATACATACATATATATATATATATATATATATATATATATATATATATATATATATATATATATATATATATATATATATATATATATATATATATATATGTCGTACCTAGTAGCCAGAACTCACTTCTCAGCCTACTATGCGAGGCCCGATTTGCCTAATAAGCCAAGTTTTACTGAATTAATATATTTTCTCTAATTTTTTTCTTATGAAATGATAAAGCTACCCATTTCATGATGTATGAGGTCAATTTTTTTTTATTGAGTTAAAATTAACGTAGATATATGACCGAACCTAACCAACCCTACCTAACCTAACCTAACCTATCTTTATAGGTTAGGTTAGGTTAGGTAGCCGAAAACGTTAGGTTAGGTTAGGTTAGGTAGGTTAGGTTGTCGAAAAAACATTAATTCATGAAAACTAGGCTTATTAGGCAAATTGGGCCTTGCATAGTAGGCTGAGAAGTGAGTTCTGGCTACTAGGTACGACATATATATATATATATATATATATATATATATATATATATATATATATATATATATATATATGGTTAGGAGAGGATCTTCATATAATTACAATAACAGAAAGTTCAACTTACCTTGTGGGAGTTTGGGAGCTTGCTCGATGCAGGGGATTTCAAGAGAGCTTCAAGATTGTTCATTTAGCGAACACAACACTAAATTAAATGTACATGAGCATGACGAGGTCGGTGTTGAGTGCCAGCTGGTGAAGAGTCACTGACTGAACGCCCTCGGCTTGCTTAGGGGAACATAACACTGTTCCCCTTAAGGTCAGCCATACATCAGTGACAGTGCCTCTACCATCATCCTACCCCACACCAGCCACTTTCACAAACGTTTAATCACTCGTAGCCTATCTTTAATGGACAGCGTAACTTGCTTACTCTTACCACTTCCGCTTCCATTGATGCTGCTACCGGATATGGTCTCAGTAAAATAATAACAAAGTTCCTATTAGAGCAAAAAATTAATGAAACTTTAAGAGCAACACACCCGCACGGGCCGAGCCGGTTGCCTGGGCCCTGATACGTGGGCCCACAAACGGAAAAAATAAATCCCCCTATTTTAGCATGGAAATATACTGTACAGCCTGTGCGTGAATTCTTAACTATTAATTAGTATCTGTTATAAGACATTCTATTTATTTGGGTTTATTTTATTAACGTATTGTTGTAATGTAATTTGTGTTATGGGCATGGGTTGCGACAGGTATCTCAGTCGACAGCCTATTTATTTATTTATTTATTTATTTATTTATTTATTTATTTATTTATTTATTTATTTATTTACCAGAAGGTACACTGGGTTTGTGAGAGTACACAGCCAGGTTAACTCCCCGCCAGCCGGCCTGCCGGACCCTTGTATATATAACCTTGTATATTTTATTTACGTATTACTAGGTTCGGGTACATGTGCCCTTACGTAGAATAGGTATACAAGTATATTTATTAAGGTTACTTAACATGTATCCCTGCACATGCACACCATAGGCTGCAACTCGCTGTTGCAAATTCTAGTAACTGCATATGCAACTTACTGGCAACCGCGAAGCTTCAAAAATTCCAGCAGCTTCAGTTGCAATTTACTAGCAACTGCAGTTGCAACAATTCCATGCAACTTGAAGTTGAAAATATTGTATTATTAATATTTAATTGTAATATAAAGTTTTATCGCCTATGGTGTTTTGTTTCACCCAACGCACAAAAAAACATACTATTGGTGTTTGAACTACATTCTTACAAAGCCACGAACATGTAATAAGGAACAGGGTGGCGCTCCATTAAGTGACCGTGAGTTAAGCCTGTATAGTCAATATGCAACCTCGCCAGAGCCGTTTCCCATCGCTGGTTACGGTGGTAGGAGGAAGACCATGAGGACACACTACCCTTAAGAGTACGCAATTTGTTACCAGTAACAGAAGACCAACAACCTTGCCAATGGGCAAGGATGGAGGAATGAATAACTGGGTAAAAGTCAGAATAAGGAATGCCTTTATGGGAGATGGGACAAGTGCGGATAGCTTCCTTAGCGGCAGCGTCCGCACGCTCATGTAAAGAGATACCAACATGGCTGGGAACCCAGCAAAACTCAACTGTCTTAAATCTACTGGAGATAAGAAACAGCCAATGTTGAATCTCGACGACCACCGGATGGACTGGATTAAAGGACTCCAGAGCCATTTGGGCACTGCGAGAGTCAACTACAACCACAAAGGAGGATTGACAGCGAGAAAGTAGGATACGAAGAGCATAGAGAATAGCATAAAGTTCTGCAGTGAAGATGCTAATCTCCAAAGGAAGGCGACACATATAGGTGGGGTCAGGAAAAACAATAGAGTGGCCTACACCGTTTGCAGACTTAGACCCATCAGTGAAGATGGAAACTGAGCGGGAATGTAAAGAAAAGTGTTCAAGGAAAAGGCATTTCAGAACTGTAGGAGGGGTAAAAGCTTTAGTGACGTGAGTCACCTGTGGGTGGTAGTGGACCCCATACCCATCCTGTGGGTGGTAGTGGACCCCATACCCATCCTGTGGGTGGTAGTGGATCCCATACCCATCCTGTGGGCAGTAGTGGACCCCATACCCATCCTGTGGGTGGTAGTGGACCCCATACCCATCCTGTGGGCGGTAGTGGACCCCATACCCATCCTGTGGGTGGTAGTGGACCCCATACCCATCCTGTGGGCAGTAGTGGACCCCATACCCAGCCTGTGGGTGGTAGTGGACCCCATACCCATCCTGTGCGCGGTAGTGGACCCCATACCCATCCTGTAGGTGGTAGTGGATGTCATACCAATCCTGTGGGTGGTAGTGGACCCTATACCCATCCTTTGGGTGGTAATGGACCCCATACCTATCCTGTGGGTGGTAGTGGACCCCATACCCATCCTTTGGGTGGTAGTGGACCCCATACCCATTCTGTGGGTGGTAGTGGACCCCATACCCATCCTGTGGGCAGTAGTGAACCCCATACCCATCCTGTGAGTGGTAGTGTACACCATACCCATCCTGTGAATGGTTGAGGAAAAGGTTTCAGCAGTACATAATGGGCTCAGGAACTGAACCCCAAGCTTCATTTAGCTAATCAGGTTGAAATTTTGGTAGCTAGTTACACAGTTTAACAAGCCACAATGTAGGACAGAAAACAGAACGTACTTTTTCACCCATGTTATAAACCCATGGAACCGCCTACTCCTAAAGACATAAATGCCAAAACATTGCTCCAATTCAATATCCAACTTGATAAAATCATCAGGACAAATTAAGGGACCTTTGACAAGCCACTGGCTTCCTGTCCTTGTCTAGTGACATGGTGCCCCCTCAGGTAAAATAATGTAAATTGAGATTATAATACGTATTAGATATTATATTTACTTATTTTTATTAATGCATTGCTTAATTTGTTTTGTGCATTGGTCACCACATTTTGTTCAGTAACCGAATGACAATCATAGAAGTACAGTACCTTTGATGCCACTAGCCATGTGACATTTTGTTCTCATATTGGTTTCCTGAATGATATTTTACACCTTTTGAATATCCTTTCACACAAGCGGTACATACTCTTCCTAGCTTGATGCCTTCGTTTGCTAATTACTTATACTTCATCATCACAGCGACACTACATATTAGATAAAATCCTCCAGTGAATTTGCAGGAAAATTAATATAAAAATAAATCGCAGTTAAATATATTTCTTTACTTGTACAAGTTAATAGTCAAGCTATTTACACAGTAAACAATGAATATCATAAATTTATTAAACTGTTAATATATTACCCTATTATTTATAAGCAGACGGATGGGTAATGGTAATGGGACGGATACCTGTGCAGTCATGTTCTTGGTCACTTAAATGAAAATAAGTTCTTGTGAGAAAAGTCAAATGTTATGTTCTACACCGACATGTATATACAGTACAGCTTCCAATTCCTAACCATTATCAAATATTGCACATCAAGGAAGACTGTAAATATCCAGTGAGTACAATATCTATGGCCTTAGTTCCACATTCAATTAATGTTATCTACAGTGAATCAACATTGAATCAACAAAGATGACACTGATTCATCATTGATCTTGGATACTGTGCACACTGGGTAAATATTTTCCCATTGTTGGGACTAGTATGCCTATTAGGCTTACTGAGGTCCCTCCTTGCTGAACTACTGACTTTTCCTATGTTGCAACCCACAACAGTTGCCTAACTCCCAGATACCTATTTATTGCTAGGTGAACAGAGTCATCAGGTGTAAGGAAATGTGCTACCTAAATATCTCATCCTGCATGACAATAAAACCTGGGATTCAATTAGCTCTACTTCATTCTTAATACAAATGACACAATGATGTGAGCTTAAAACAAAGATTAATAAACATACATCATATTGTGTTAGTGACAAACATTGAAACAAACTGTAAGAACATTTGGAAGACTTTGCTCTTCTTAGTTTATCTTACCTTTGGTCTTTAACAAAAGATGTTACGTATCATCCAACTTTCAATATTCCCTGCATTTAAAACTTATAAGTTTTACTCTATACATTTCTAAAGTACAATCAATAGTTTCCTTAGCAGTCCTTGGATTAGATATCACCTGACCATCTATGGATTAGTGGCAATAAATATATAAGTACACTACATTACTGTATATTTCAACCAGATATCGACCAACCTGCCCCAACACTTAATGTATCACAATTTTTGGGCTACTGACCCCAATATAAAAATAGCAGTGATTATGTGAAATAAAATAAAAGCTAATATTGATGTCACTTGTGGTTAATGAGTTAATTACTACATTATTTATGAAAAGAATAACACCACTATATATATTAACAATGTATTTTTTCTTCTCCACCTTTTCAAGATATCTTTTAATACACACCAAAGAAAATTAATTTTTTCCTTAAGTTATTTGAGCTTCAGTCATCAATTGACAGAACACTACATAACCAGCCTGCTCAATGCTGCCACTACATAATCAAACACATTATTATGTATTCAACAGACAACACACACCATTAAAAAAAATATATATTATGTATTCCAGTTACAAGGTTAATCTGTGGAACCATAAAACACAGAAAGCATATGAGGCTTATAGTATGTTAGAGCAGGAGTCACAACAGTTGCAGATCTCTACTTGATCTCTGTGGAATGCATCGTGACGAGATTCATTATCTACCATATGCATAATTAGGATATAAATAGGGTACAATGTAGTATACTTAATTTATTCTTAACACTACAAATAACTAAGCAAAACTATGAAAAATATATATAATTTCCATATCTTTTAGTAATTAAAATTAAAATCTTACCATCATATTTTAATACTAAAATATGTGAAAAATATTGGCATTCTTTAACAACTCACATCATATATTTTTACTAATAAACTACTGGAAAAATAAATTCCCCATTTTGCTATTGTATTAGTGCATTAGTGCTATTGCATTATTAGTGCATTAGTGCTATTGCATTAATCTCAACTGAGAAGTTATATTTCAAATTAAAATGACATAGTACACCACAGTAACATGAGAATTACAAAGACTTCTCTTTCCATTCTCAAGATAAGGATGCATAAATAATAAACACGTGGGCTAAACCAAAGGTCAGGAGCATACATTGTGTCTGGGATACCTACATACAAATGTCTAATAAATGTTTAATATAATGAAATCCATCATTTTCTTACACAATAATATTTTAACCAATCATCACTAACGAATGAGAAGCAGATATTAATTAAGAGTAATGTTGTGATGTGGTATATCAGTGTACAGTGGAACACTGTTATGATGGTCAATGTTGTGATGTGGTACATCAGTGTACAGAGGAACACTGTTATGATGGTCAATGTTGTGATGTGGTACATCAGTGTACAGAGGAACACTGTTATGATGGTCAGTGTTGTGATGTGGTACACCAACGTACAGAGGAACATTATATGGGGAAGCGAGTCAAGGCAGCTGAATGTTTCCACCAGTTTTCAAAGATCAATAATACATAGGAAGAAAGTTTGTTAAAAAAATTAATAAATATGGAAAACTGAAGTTTGATGCTAGAGAGAGGATTCTTGGAAAGTGGTTTTGATGCCTAAATGGCAGGTTTACTTAAATAGATTCATATATTGCAGATTCCTCAGACTATCAACTGGAAGAGGAGAGAAAAATATCCATACCTTCAAGGCATTCATTTATTTATTTACATATTCAAATAAAAGTTATAATTGTTAATAAAATTTCAGTAAAAAAATATAAAATCCACTAAAAATATATATTTCTACTTGCATAATATGGACATGGATGGAGCCCCATTAAAGGAACAGAAGATACAAACCAATAAGCGGTAGACTTTGTATAAGCAAGATACCCCAATATACAATTTGCATTAAAATATTGTTACGCCTGTTGCCGGCTCTTAGAGATTCTGAAACACAAAAATAGATATGGAGATTTCACGTACAGTATCTTGAAGAAAAAACTTGAAAAAGAAAAACCTGTTTTATCAGCAGGTAATTACTTGATCAAATATATTAGATGAATTAAAATATATTAGACATATTAGGTACAAGTACATATTAAAATTACAATTTAAAGCAGATTGGTTATGGACATTTTACTAAAATAAGACACGTGTCTGCATAACTCAATATGCTATTAGCTATATGTGGGACAATAAGAGTACGAGATCCAAGCAAAATCAGTCCACAACACCAGTACTGCACAACTTCTTTCACTAATGCATTTGCAAGATTCCTAAATGCACTTTTTCAACATACATTTATTATACCGATGCAACACTCGGCAAGATAATACATTAATTAGTAAACCTCTGCATGCTCATCACTTCACAACTACCTTTATTCTGCCCTCTGTAATGACATTTTTTTATCCATTTCCTTTTATGCTGTGAAATGGTTTAACAAGTGCATTTCATTCTCTATTAAACAATTTTCTCAAAAAATGTCATGGGTTCAATAAGAACTTTAAAAAAATAATAAAATGATCACAAACAGAAAGACTTTCCAGAAAATTGTAAACATACCTCAGGAGAAAAGAGAAGACAGCTAATAAAGTTTAAACATTTATACAGTACCATAAGTAGAACTGAAGTGAATTTCACAAGATGGCAGCAAATACATCAGTCAAAGCACGACATGTCTAAATTATGAAGTGTTATGGAACAATTATTAACAGTCGTCAGTCTCTCCTGGTGTGTTATGGGTGTGTTCCTTCTGGTGTATTGTGGCATGTGTGTTCCTTCTGGTGTGTTGTGGCAATTGTGTTCCTTCTGGTGTGTTGTGGCAATTGTGTTCCTTCTGGTGTATTGTGGCATGTGTGTTCCTTCTGGTGTGTTGTGGCAATTGTGTTCCTTCTGGTGTGTTGTGGCATGTGTGTTCCATCCTGGTGTGTTGTGGCATGTGTGTTCCTTCTGGTGTGTTGTGGCATGTGTTCCATCCTGGTGTGTTATGGTGTTGAACCTTCTGAGATGATGTGTTAACCACAAATCAAGAATTAGCTACTTTAAGACAATTTTAATGTGAATTACTACATAATGTTACCAAGAGGTGACAACATTTTTCAAACTAAACATATCCTGTAGTAACAATTATTAGTACAAAATACAAAATTATCCCAATCTGATAAATTATTGTATTGCATCATGCAAACAAAAACAGAAACCATTATGTTTTTGAAGACTTTCTATTAAAATAATAATGATAACAATGTGGCCTAGAGGCGAGTCCCATTTGCCGGCTTACAACCAATGTTATTCCAGATTTTTTATGTACAATTTGTTTAGCATTCCAACAAACATGCATCTTTACACATCTTTACAGTACTGTATGTGATTTTTACAAAATTTAAAATTATTTTTCTGATTTGACCATTAGCACCTAAAAAATATCATATTAAGATATAAGCACTCTAACATAAAACCTTTGGGCATTTACTGAATATAAGTCTATAATTAAAAATGTCTGAAAAATTAGATCATCAAAATCATGACTTTTGTAGTTTAATCTCTTAATCTTTATTAAAATATATTTAGTTTTAATAAACAATGCAACAGGGTACACTGCTCGACACTTAGCTAGCAATTAAACAATACTGGAGGGTTCACTCATCAGTAATATAATGATTCAACAACAATCAACGGTCATCTTGAATGCAACTATTGCCTCTTCCACACAATAACAAGTCCTGTGGCATCTGAAGTTGCCAGTAGAGATTCATCATAATTGAAGGTGACGCCCAGAACTGGGGCTGCATGACCCTGCAGCCGGTTGATAAGTGGTCGTGTATCTCTCTCAACGTCCAAGAACCAAACACTACAGTCCTCACAGCCACTCACTAGAATACATATGTAAGTATAGTATTATTAATCACACATAAAAATAATTAATTTTAATTAAGCATAAACGCCCCATAATTTAATAGCCAGACACTCCACATCTGTCTACGACATCATTTTTTACTCGATCTATTCACTAAATACCACACGTGCTTCTCAGCTTACTGAATTCTACTGCTATAGCTTTTGATTCTTTACATTCATAAAACACCTTTGTCCTGCAACTATTGGTAAGGGATGACACTACCACTCCTTCACACAACTCTCTGCTTGCATTTATTCCTATCTGGTTTTATTCTAAATCCTGCCTTTCATTGCATGAGTCTAATCACTCTCCAACCTTGACACAGTACAGATTAGGTCCAATTCCTCTTATATCAATCACATACCCCGTGAATTTAAACAGTTTGTTGATTTTTTAGTTGTGACCTGTTACATACCTCCAAGATACATTATAGCAACTGACCAACATTTAAACAACTAAAATGGATCTCATCATTAGTATGATGTGTGCTCTTATGTATGCTAATTAACTGCAAAACTCACCAACACATGCTCCCTGCCTGAAGGACATGAGTGGACAAAACGTCGACCGCACAGGCTGGTATTCGTGACTAATACTAAATTTGCGTTTCAGACGTAAACCTCCTTCTTTATCCACTACTCTGTAAGAGAAATGATAAGTAATTACAAAGAGCCTGTGACAATAATAATCTCTCATCAGTATTTTAGTTTTATTGTTGTTTAAGATCCTACAAATTTGCTTTTACTAGAACAAATGATTAAACAAGCATGTTCATACATTTTTGTTCGTTTATACAAATAAATAGAAAATCAAGTGCAATGAAACTTACAGTTCTGGGAACATATATGGCAAATAATGTAACAAAAGGGAAAACAATTATAGGGCAAAGTTCAATTACAAATTAAAATACATTTACTATACTGACCTGTACAAAACAAGAGCATTACAAGCGACACTGACAAGAAGTGTTGGATTTGGTGCCTCACGACTGGCCCAGGTGCGAGCTGAAAGGCTGGTGACTGCCGCCCCTTCACTCACTACACAACGTTTCCCTTTTCTAAGACCTCCACTCCCAAGGTCAAAGAGGAATGAAATAATAATACCCTGCAAGAAAAATTTAATTTAAAATTTTATTTAAATGATACACACAAGGCACTAAAAATGTTTGAACTACAATTGTATTATCAGCTGTTGGTCAGTGTGGGGGACATAAATCATAACATCGACTCACTGATTGGGTCATCAAGTAACACCAGATACATATGCTTTACTTTTGAAGTACATGATAACAAAAATAAAGCACTTTTATTTTAATGCAATTAATAACAAAAATGTTTCAAAACAAGAACAAAAACAATATGATCATGGTCCTTTTTAGGAACAGTCCCCCACCCCTTTACAGAAACAACAACAGATTCCACCCAACCAAACCAACAGGTAGGTGGGTCAAAGCATATCAGTGGAGCACTAGTACATTGCCACCAACTACAGATGCAATGAAATTGATGTAAAAGTAACACCTATGTGCGATGTACCTGATGTAAAAACACAAACACACGTACCGATGAGAAAATCCCATTATCTCTATATCAACATAATGGGACTTCTCTGTGTACACATATCAAATATGGTACAACCTCAAATGTTGGTTAAATGTAATAGCCAGGAAGAGCAATCGCATGTTTGCCAAAGGAATGCCAATTAGTGTCTGAATGGGGGCTTTGAGATTTTTAGAATGTACTTTCTGGTAGCCATTCCAGACTAGATTTAGTATTTTCTAGTATCACCTAACACATTATGACCCAGTAGGAACAGCTTGAGAAGCTCCCTGCAGTGTCTTGAGTGCTGACCTGTCCTGACTAAGCAAAACCTCTACTGAAGACCAGGACGCTCTTGCAGGACCAGGACATTCTTTCAGGACCAGGATGCTCTTGCAGGACCAGGATGCTCTTGCAGGTCTAGGACATTCTTGCAGGACCAGGATGCTCTTGCAGGACCAGAACGCTCTTGCAGGACCAGGACGCTCTTGCAGGACCAGGATGCTCTTGCAGGACCAGGATGCTCTTGCAGGTCTAGGACATTCTTGCAGGACCAGGATGCTCTTGCAGGACCAGAACGCTCTTGCAGGACCAGGATGCTCTTGCAGGACCAGGATGCTCTTGCAGGACCAGAACGCTCTTGCAGGACCAAGACGCTCTTGCAGGACCAAGACGCTCTTGCAGGACCAAGACGCTCTTGCAGGACCAAGACGCTCTTGCAGGACCAAGACGCTCTTGTAGAACCAGGATGCTCTTGCATGACCAGGATGCTCTTGCAGGACCAGGATGCTCTTGCAGAACCAGGACATTCTTGCAGGACCAGGACATTATTGTAGGACTAGGACATTCTTGCGAGACCAGGACAATTTTGCAAGACCAGGATGTTCATGCAGGACCAGGATGTTCTTGCATATGCACCATAAATGTTATCCACACATTATTTGTGATAACTACTTTATGGGGAATACATTGTACAGAAGTTTTCAAGACATGGCCACACTCATGTTTAACCAAAACTTGAACAAAGGTGATATTTATAAATGTTATTTTATGTTAATATGACAATCATCAAATTCTGAATTTCAGCATTTTCCTGAATATTTAATTTGTATGAAACAATTAACCTTGTCATCTCCTGCCCAAAGTGTCTTGCCAGAAGAGTCAAACGTTAAAGCTGTGACTTGACCGGCAACCTTGCTAGTTCCTCCCTTTGGGTAATGGCCGGTGGAGATGTTTAAAACTTGCACCAATCCTCGGCTATTGCCCAGCTGAGTAAATCATGTTAAGGTCAAATATTAATACTCTATTTTTCTAAACATTAAAATATTTTTATACAAGTTCATTGAAACAGAATTATAACTTGGGATTTGGTTAAGATTTGCAGATATTGAGTTCTCAGATCAGTTTCTAATTAATCAATGAGTCACACCTCAAGAAGATTTGTAAAACACTGTATATTAAAAACATCATTAATGCTGTATATTAAATATTACTCTCTTAGGAATTTATCACCACACAAAACTAACAAAAAAAAATGGAGTACAGTATTTTGTAAACATTTTCAAAAGGCAGAATAGAGGCAGTAAAGGATACAACAGCCCAGTTGGAGTTAAGAGGATGGAAGAGACAAGAGAGAACTTGTCCTCCAACTTGATCGCTAACTGTACGCAGGCAACGCCCTGTTGCTGAGCTCCAAAGGCAGATAGCACCATCCTCACCACACGATAGTAAAAGGTCATTTGTGGATGACCAGTCAAATCCTGAAAAAAATTACAGCACTGAAAAAACTAGATACCTTTGTAATTCCATTTAGGGAAAGCAACATAAAGTAGTTATTTTGTGTACACTACAATGACTTTGCTTATTCTTTCTAAACAGCATTTCTATGACAGTACTGTATAAGATATAGTTCCACTATACAAAAATTCACATTATAAGGAGAGTTACTAAAAATTTATTTATATCTTAAATCTCTGTATTTAGTTATGGGGAAGGGAGAAAGTCTTCCTCAGCCAATTAGAACTATACCACTGGAAGGGCAACATTAATCTAAAGTCTCAACATGGTAGGCACCAGCCCACTCACTGACAACCATTGAGTCTTCTTAAAACATTCTGTCAAAGATATCTAGGAATACTACCCGGACCTGAATTGTACCTGGATGGGGTTCTGGGTGTTCTACTCCTCAAACCTGGCAACTAGAGGCAGATGGGTTGAGTGGAAGGCCATCAAGCTATTAGGAGGGGGCGAACAGGCTCCATGCTTAAGAGGGGGCCGGGAGGGCATCCATGGTATAAGGCAAGTACAAGCATCACCTGCAAAAGCAGCCAATGAATAGGTTCCCACATTTCCCAGTTCACTCTTTAGGCCTACGATCACCAGAGGTCTACAACATCAACAGGCTTACAATCACAATCCGTCAGTGTAGCTCAACTGTGAGCCAAGTGAGGGTCATGAGGCAGTGTAGCTCACCTGTTACTCCTGCAGTGTGATGACGAAGAGTGTGAAGCACGCAGGGCTCCCCATCAGCCACCTGACACACTGACAGAGTACCATCTAGGGAAGAGCAAGCAAGTAGACCCTGATCATTGTGAGCAAATTTCACCATTGTAACACTATCTGCATGCTGCAATAAGAAAGTAAATTGAATATTACTATCATTTAAAGGCTAGAGAATAAAGCTGAAATGGAAATACTATACACACAACTAATCATAGCAGATTAAATTAATTGGATGCATTTTCTGTGACAAAACTTGCATTATAACTATTTAGCAACTGCTCTCTAAAACAATTAGAGTTCCTTAACCTAACTTCATCCATAGGAAGCCAAAAATTCCAATATTTATTGCTAACTGAAGAATTAAAACTCTTTCCTGTATACTTTTGGTAGTACAAGTAGCTCAGTATTATACCATCAATTATCACCAATGAATAGTACTGTAAAATGAACAAATCCACAAGGGCCATGCAAGGATGTAGTCAAATGTAGTGTAGTACTGTAAAAGTCCTTTCTGAAAAATTTCCTGAAGAATTTCACGAAACAAATTTGGGTACCGAGTGAAATTAAATATTCTTTCTGACCAGCTTCATTGTTACTCCTTGAGCCATATTGTTAAAATGTCAAACCGAGTACCATGCAGAGTGCAGAAAGTAATGCTCACAAGTATACTTAATATAAATCAGTAAAATCAAACGAGGCAGGATATGTAACAGGTCCTGCCTGCATACATCATAATCAGATTTATGAAAATTTAGGACTATGTATGTTCCAAATGTAATTTGTTTTACACAAATATTACACACATTTATACATGTAAAACTAAAATTTTGAAAAGTTTCTGGTATTTTTCTTTATTATTTTTAATCTAATATTTTGTCTTGCTAGAGGCAGCCAACAACCATTGCTAGAAACCGTCCAATGAATTCATACTAATAAGTATGGCAGGAATGTGTGCTTTTGTTGTTTATAGATACAGAATTATACTGTATATACAGTATATATTATTGTTTCTAATTATGTATATAATAAGAATATATATAACTGAAACAATTATCAATGCAGACACACACATCACATTTTTTACACTCAGTATACTTACTCTAATTTTCTCATATTCCTAGTTACAATTTACACTACTAAGACAACAGTCCTGTCTTACACCGGCTTTATTTCTCAACAATCTGTGGCACATGTGGCACAGCATTTTCTCCACTCAATAAGATAAAGTCATGTGGCTATAGTGGCACTAGGAGCGTTCACACAATCGCCACCACCGTTGCTCCCACTTCGATCACCACTATCATACAATCAACATTAGTCCCACAATCAGTAAAAATAAAAAGTTACTATTTTCATCAGGTTTAGTAGCTTGTAGCAACAAATTTTTTAAATAAAATATCCCCCACAGAAAACTAAAAACCTACTTGATCATATATGTGATGCACTCCTGAGAATGCATAATTCTCCCCAATTGAAGTGCCGCCCACAATGGCTTTTGAAGCTTCAGCTCGTTGTGTAGGAACAACTGAACCAGGTGGAGGAGGACCCTGAGGTCCCTCGATGCCTTGGCTACCCGTCTGCGACATGGCAATACTCATTGTCCGGCTCATACAACGTGGGGAGTCACCCTGTTGGGGTAAATTATATCAATACAGTAGTTGTATATTATTTTGAATTAAAATGATAAACAGGCAAAAGTACTTTAAAATTTTGAAAGGTTTATATGGTACATTTGCTGTACTAATACAGTACAGTGCAGTGCACCTCAATTGCCCAGACCAATTAGTACCTCTGGATGTCTAGATAATCAGACAATCTGGAAAACAAGGAGCCAGATATTGTGGGTTCCACTGTACATCAAAGAAATCATAAGCTGTTATTAACACATTAATGCTTCATACATCCATTTATATATAAAAATGGATGATTTCTTTCATACTTATATGTGAAAGTAAGCTAAAATGAAAATGCTTTTATGTTTAAAAGAAATTTTCACTTACATCAAATTAGAAAATCTTATTATTTTAATAATTTCAGGATAAAAAGCGCAATACCTCTACTGTGAGACGTGATGCAGAACGAAGACTTGCTGGCCTACTCTTCAGACTGAGCTGGTCCAAAGTAACACAATAACGCTGCTGCAACAATGCTAGTCGTACCCTTAAGTAATTATGTATACCAGCATTATCCTGAGAAACAAAAGCGCTAGATTTTAACATTGTTGATGAGCTATAATGACTAAAGTAATGTACTTCTATAAAACACTGGGAACAATGACACACTTTTTCTGCCCAGTGCCTTGGTAGCCAATGTCTAGTGCTCAGACATTCGAAGAACACTATTTTCTTGTCAGGCACTAAATGACTTTTTTTACCCACTGTGAACAAGGACCTTTTCAGTGTCGGTTATAGTCTCTTAAGGGGACTGGGAGTGCATGGAGATAAGTCAATCACACAACCAAGGCAAATCACTTGCTATAATATACAAAAGTGCCAACTAAAGGATCAGGAAAGGCCACCTCACCCCTTGCTTCATGTCTCCAATTTTAATCAACTATAATGTGTTGGTTTGAGAAAAATTTACTTTAAGCAAAGTAATCTTTAGGGCAGTTTTGCCCCTTTAAGGGCATATAGCAACCGTAGAAAAGAAGTCATCTAATTCCTGACATGACAATATCCTGGTAATATTAGAGGACTAGGCTTGGAAAGCTACCATGGTAGATGCCTAGAAATTGTGTATTGGTATAATGAAACACTTTTCTAATTCAGTCCCTCAGATGCTTCCTGAGCCAGAACCTACATGGTTCCACCCAGAACTTTTATCACCTGCTACACTCTTGTAGACTTTGAAGACAACCAGGGGAAGACAACCTTGAAAGATAGCCAAGCAGAAAAAAGACAGTGATACATAAATGACCAAGCAATGAAATGAACCCTGAAGCATGGAAATCCCCTGCAAAAGACAAAAGTCGCTATGATAAAACCAGTCAGAATCGTTTTTCGATCACCACAGAGCCAAGGTGAGCAGCAAGGTGGTGATTGCTGTTCATCTAGGGGTTTCCATGAAGGTTTCCGACTTTTTCAATCCTGTTGTAGTGATGAGTGCTGGTAATTTAATCAGTTGGCGGTGACTAATAGCTAGTAGAGTGATACAGTACCTTGTATTTCTTATTATTGCTCGCAGGGTTGCTGAGGGTGTTGATTGCACTGTTATTTACTTGCTAGCCAATATACAGTGATGAAAATTAGAATAGCCACTGTCTTCCTTCCCCTGATTACATGACAGCACCATGTGAAATGTCTCATCACAGTGGGATGCACAGTCTACGAGAGCTTGATGAGTGATATGAGACCTGGGTGGAATCTATAAGCTCTGGATCAGTGGGCATTCGAGAAACCTAAGTTCAGAAAGTTCTTTCAATTAAAAATAAAAGTTTCACACACCTCTTCACGTGCACTGTCCCGCAGTAGCTGACTACGCCGTCTGATATATAGTGTTTCTGAAAAGATTTAATAATATGACATCTTGAAATGAATCCCATTCAGGTTGTTTATATTATCTATATGCTTCCCACTCACTTTTAATTGTCAAAACTAAATTTTTTTGCTTCTTATTTATACTAACTGATCATACTAAACAAATAAAATAGTGAGCTGCTGTACTTTAAAACTCTCTCAACTGCAACAACTAAATACTGTATATCTAACAATTCCATTGGTCAAGACACTCAAATTCTGGTCATTTTTCTGACGAAAAAGGACCATGTTGGCAATATGCTATTAATATATCATGCTTTGGTGAAAGCCTTCAGTCACTAAAGAAATTATCAGGAGAAAGTGCTAAACCAGTATGACTACATAACACATGGAAGGGATATGCAGACAGGATACAAGCTGGGATATATGGACAGAACAGAAGCTGAGATATGAGGAATGAGTGAAGGAATGGTGCCCAACTACTTGAACAATGGTGATCAAACGCTGACTTGCAAGAAGTGAGGCCATTGCTGTACCGACCAGTCCAAGTGGATGAACACCATCAATCAGCAACTAAATGCAAATATCAAGATTTTCACTACTAATACTATACCTTTACTAAATAATAAACAAGTAACACCTTTACTAAACAACAGCCATGTGTAAGAGGATACATAAAGCTTGCTTGATGCATAAAGATTCATTAAGATAAACCTTGCTCAAAGCATATATCAGCATGCTCAAGACAAAGCATCAACTTACTGAAACCCGGGGCAGCTGGAGCACGATGGTTGTTAAACTTGGCATCCACAGCCAACACTTGTTGCCACCAAGCCATCTTTTTGTAACCTGTCATGGTACCAACATTTACTTAGCATCTAGAGACATGATACTAATATTCCTTTAGCAGTTGATGAGTTCCTAGTGCTAAAATTTATTTAAAATGCAATGGTACCAAATCAATTTAACACATAATGATGGCAACACTGATATCTGACCCAATACTCTTTATTTGTATATACATAAATCATATCTATGAGACCTGGAATGATCATAAGAGAATATCACTGCAGTAATACTGAAACAATGCCACTCCACTTGTCTGTAACCCTAAAGTACAACATTGATCTCCAGAGCTTAAGGCTCTAAATACAGAAGATACTGTATTAGAAGTACTATTGTTTGAGGATAAGGAAATCCCTTCAGCTTAATTCACCCCTTGGACTGGTCAGGACAGTAATGGACTCATTTCTTGCAGATCAGCATTTCAACCCCAACCCAACCTAGTCTAACCTAACATAGCCTAACCTAACCCTCACCATTCCAACCTAAGCTAACATAGCTTAATCTAACAACATACACAGTTTGACAATTATAAAATAAGCTTTGTCAAAATGGCTGTGTATGATTTGACCATAGCCCATCTCAAGTCATGCAAGTGAGTGTTACTTTACCTCTACGTCTGGGCCGGGTGGTTATGCGCATTAGTGGCATATATTTAATATTAACTCAAATAACTATAGCCAGGAAGAAGCAGGTGAGCCACCTCCATCGAACCTCTTGAGCCACACCAACAACAGGTTCCGGCCCGGGGGAAGTCTTGCGCAACTTGCTAAGGGACATCAACAAGTTCCTCTTGATGAGGTGTTACAGTCATCAACTTCTCTCTCACGTCCAGTGTTGCCTTTATGTCGTACGCCTCGAGTCCCTCACATCTAGTTGTTGTTATTGTTGGTTGAGGGGTGACGATGATTAAGTCAATAACAAAAACACTCTCAAGTTGTTTAGTTTTCAATGGTAAACATTGGATGCGTTCGCAGATTGACTCTTGATTCTGGCCGTTCGTGTCTGGCTCGGATTATCTCTTCATACTCATTGATGACTAATGGATAGGAAATGTATATGTTTATCTCTCAGAATGTTTGGTAATATGTTTATTGTTTGTGATGTGTGTCTATGTATGTATTAACACGATGTACTGAACGGGGTGAGAATAGCTTGAGCTACCTCATCCCTTTGTGTGTATTTTACCTCAATAAACTTATTTCAATTCAATTTCAACTAATGGATGGACTAATATTTAGCTATAAGGAATAAAAATTATTAATAATTTCTTTTAAAATATATTATATAGTATGAATGCATTGTTAGCTTTGTATGTATCTATTTAGGTTAAACATGCCATTACCTATACCCTCAGAGTCACTCCAAGCATTTCTCCTTTTACCATAAGTGAAATGGGTGTTTTGACTCACATACATGTAGTGTTGCATGGTTTGACTACTCTCATACATTATCTCTCTCCTCTCCACTCCCGCCTGTGCCTGAATATTTCTGATTTTGCTTCTTATTTGTCTCATTGTGAATTCACATTCAATGTCAACTTGTGGTTTTGATGTGGCACGTTTGGCCAAGTCATCCGCCACCTCGTTGAGCACTATCCCAACATGAGATGGAATCCACATGAATTTCACACTATAACCTTTCAGCTGTATCTCAGTTATTCTTCTCTTACAGTCCTCCACTATAGACATGAAGACTGGGTTTCGACTGTTTAAGGACTCCAGTGCTCCTCGGCTATCGACAAATACAAAAACATTTTTGTCGTCATGACGTACTTCCTCCAAACACGCCAGAATGGCCTGCAGTTCAGCTTGTGTGGATGATATATAATTACTAAGCCGGAGTTCAATTATCCTGTCCACAGTCCCAAACTCCGTATAATCCCTTATTAGGACACCACACCCTGCCCTGCCATCCTCCGCCACCGACCCGTCGCAATATACATGTAAACTGTTGCCTCTTGGTAACCGAGATATCATGCTTCCATACAAACACCGTAATTGTCCCGGTTCATGATGAATCTTTTTCACCTTGAGGGGTACAATTTCGACGTCTATTTTCTGTACTTTCCAGGGAGCAGACATATTACACTTTCGAGAGGGTTTACAGCAGTCAAGTACGTCGTATTCCCTGAGGTCATGAGCTAATCCTCTCGTATAGCGTGTCTCCCTCAGTTTCCTGGAAGTGTGTACGTCACTCAAGCAGGTCTGAACGCTCTCAAACAGCTTATCCCCTCCTTTTCTCCGCATGAAACGAATAGATACTCTAGTGTTAATGTCACGGACTCTATCACACACACTCTGTAAATTTAATTCCATTCTCATTATTTCAATCATTGCATTTCTTTGACATCCAAGAATAATCCTCATAGCCTCGTTCTGTATCAGCTCTATTTTTTGAATTCTGCCTTGGCCTGTGTAAGACAATACGGGTGCTGCGTAGTCTATCAGGGAGCGAACAGTGCTTATGTATAACATCCGCAAGATAGGTACCCCAACACCTTTACCAGAAAAAGCCAGTGCTTTTAGAGGATGCAGACGGGCTTTACATAAGGTGCTGATATGATTTATTTCAGCATTTTTACTCTCACATGTGTATCCAACATACATGCCCAGATACTTGTACTTCTGTACACGGCTCAGTTCCACACCATTTAGAGTAAGTGTTATATTTCTTCGTTTCCTATACTCGTATTTGGTTTTATCTGCATTTATAACTAAGCCTAACTTGTGACAGGTTGTACCAAGTATGTTAAGAGCATCTTGAATTTTGTTCCCAGAAGTGCCTTGTATAAGAATGTCATCAGCATATATGATCGTCGTGACCCCTGGAGGATACATCTCTGATGCTAATCTATACATGCAGTGAATTGTCAAAGGTCACCACAATATTCCTTTTTTTTCAGTTACAATTTGAACTGAAAGACTGTAATATAATATTACAGGCGGGTGAATGACTCACAAAGGCCTTGTTGTTATAGATTCAGCTACTCGGAACAAGTTCCAAGAAGATGAAGATAAAGATTAAGCCACCCAAAAGGTGGCACGGGCATGAATAGCCCGTAAGTGGTGGCCCTTTTGAGCCATTATCAGTATCAATAGATGATACTGGAGATCTGTGGAGGTGCGACTGCACCCTGCGTGACGGGAGATGTCTCCCGTGAAGTTCCAAGTAGCACGGGCTATGGTGAGCCCGTAGTAGACTTACCTGGCACAGGAGCGGTGCTGTGTGAAGGCCTTGTGTACTCGCCTAATTGTGCTTGATGGCGTGCATGTGTACTATCCCAGGCGGTTAGTAACACAAGACCACCGAGGACTCACGTGAATGAAACGTTTCATTCATTACTAATTGTTCAAATTTATTTATTTATTTATACAAGAAGATACATTGGGTTTATGAGAGTACATAGCATTGATGTTTTTACATCTGGTAAAGCCACTAACACGCATAGCGTTTCGGGCAGGTCCATAATCTAACATAATTTTAAGTAGGTAATTTCTAGCAAAATTGATAAATGTTAACAGGTACATTATAAGAAAGTTTGACGAAGATTAGTAGGTACATTATAGTAAAATTTGAGTTTTATCAACAGGTACATTGTAGCATAATTTGAGGATTATTTCTAGGAAAAAAAAAGGTATAATGTAGTAAAATATGCGTTCAATATAACAATCATGATATAAGATGATAGGAATGACTGGCTTAGGTATATATATTGGGGGATTGGGGAGCTCAAGATATAATGTGAGTTTCTAGTACTAGGTAGGAAACTATGAGAATGAAATTAGGTACTTTTTGGTTTTATTTTTGAATAAGGCTATAGTTTGACAGCTTTTCAAATCGTTTGGAAGTGAGTTCCATAGACTAGGTCCCTTTATTTACATAGAGCGTTTACACAGATTTAGTTTGACTCTGGGAATATCAAAGAGATATGTATTTCTGGTGTGGTGATTATGGGTTCTGTTACATCTGTCAAGGAAGAGTTTCAGATCAGGATATGCATTTAAGAAGGTTTTGTATATGTAAATGGCACAAGAGAATGTGTGGAGTGAGTTTTTGCTTAGCATGTTTAGGGATTTAAACAGGGGAGGCTGAGTGTTGTCTGAAAACAGAGCTTGTTATTGTTCTGATAGCAGATTTTTGCTGGGTGATGATAAGAACATAAGAATAAAGATAACCGCATAAGGCCTATTGGCCCATACGAGGCAACCACACAATCTCACTCATATAGATGTCCAACCCACGTTTGAAACAATTGAGGGACCCCACCTCCACCACGCCACGTGGCAACTGGTTCCACAAATCAACAACCCTGTTACCGAACCAGTATTTTCCCAGGTCTTCCCGAAATCTAAACTTATCCAGTTTATACCCATTGTTTCGTGTTCTGTCCTGTGTTGATACTTTTAATTTAATTCAGTGTCAGCTGCCTTTTAATCATCAATTATAATTTTATTGGTCAAATTTCAAGAATCCTACTGTGAATATTATCTTAGTTTTACTCCTTATTTAAGTACAGTATAAAGACATGGGATCTTCCTTTATATTTTTAGAAATTTTTCAGAGTAGCTGCATTTAATGCCTTTTGTACGTCAAGATCAGAACCACACATTGTATAGTTGTGATTTAGAGAATTTAGAGTAAACTATTTCAACCAAGTGAATTATCAACTTCATATTCAGTTACAGTAATAAATGCAGTAAATCTATACTGATAAGTTGTTAATATAGATTCTGTACTCTTTATCTTTTCATATTTTTATAAGTTTAAATAAAAACCCCTTAAAATGATAAATAACAAGACCTATTTGAGAGGTGGTCATGCTACTCGTGTGTGGTAAGAGGGCAGCAGCTGCCTGATGTTACCAATGGTGCCCAAGTGGTTGGACACCATTCCTTCGCTCTATCCTCCAATTCCCTTCTGGTGTTATCTAGTCAAACTGGCTTAGCATTTTCGCCTGACAATTTATTGTCAGGCGAAAAATGTAATGGTAATGGGGGTGTCTGGAGATGAGGAAATGGGTGGAGACTGTGCACATGAGAAGAGGTACAAGGTAGAAAGGGACACATATGCGCAAAGGGTTGATGAGGGTCACTCCTGGCACCAAACCATGGCGGCGCAATAGACAAAATGTGCACAGCATGCATATGTGATATTTATGAGGCCCAGGTGCCATAGTTGATGCCTCACCTCAGACTGGAATCTTATCCTCTTGCTTAAGGTGCAAGATGGCCTGCTCTATTTAAAAGTGAGCACAGGACAATTTTTAAACAAGGTGGCTAAAACTACAATTAACACAGAAAGGGTTGGGTGGTACAAGTGGACTCAAATTGGCTGGGCTTGCCGCATATAGGGAAGTGACTACAGCTGAGTGACTAGTAGTCTAAGGTTAACATTTTTAATACCTTAGTAACTTAGTTTCGTTTCTATTATAAAATATCTAATGAGCCTCTACTCTTTTCTTTATTCCTTCACATTCCCATCACTGAAAATAAGTTCACCATAAATATAATTGCCACTTGACCCTTAAACCCCTCATTTATTCAGGGTAGAAAAGTCTCATAAGGTATCCTTCCATTATATTTCCACAATGAACTCCCCTTATACAATCATATTGTTTTACCTTTGTGAAAATGAGTCACTCATTCCATAAACAAAATATTTTATTGAAAAACCAGCACTGTATAGATACTACTCGGCTATCGACTTTAAAACCTAAGGCATGAATGAAATAAAAACAATAAAACATTATTTGTAGAGATGACAGTTTATAATTTGGCTCAATAAACAATGCAATAAATGATGAATATTTACCAATGCTGCTATGTAAAGCAATATTCAACGTGTCCAAAATTTCATGTCACAGACAATATGCAGAGCTTTTAAGCTTTGAAACATGGCTGACTGAGAGGTAGCATGCAACTGCACTTCCACGAACCTGACAACACTTTTCATCACGCTAATGCATTTTGACACACACAAGTACTGTACTGTATATAAAACCGTCATGGACAAAGTCACCATGAGCCCAGAAGAGGCAATCCAAAATGGAAAATTCCCAGTAAAATGAGATATATGAAAGGACATTTTGTTTTGTAATAAAACCATATAATTTACTACCACAGGAATGTCAGGACTGTAGTTAAAAAAATCAAAGTTGTTCATCTTCTGATGAAAGAGTTAGATGATACTGCTCTGTCTCGTCGATTGAATCTTCAGTGGAATCTAGAGGGTAAAACTCAGGAGCATCTGCTGAAAGGGACAGTTGGTCCATTTGGTATACAGCAGCTTCCAGATCTGTGGTGGGCTGAGTTAATCCTGAGATACTCGAGGAATGAACTTCATTTGGTCCACTGTTTACTGGAGGTGACACAGAGGAATGTTGATTTGACACATGATGGTGATGACCAGGCTGATGATGTGAATGCATGGTGTGTGCTATAGTGCTGTGATCATTAGGTGTGCTTAAATTATGTGCGAGATGGTGTGGTATGTGAAGTTGGTGATGGTAAAAATGATGATGAGGCTGTGGAAGATGGTGATAATGGTGATGAGAATCTGTATTTAAGGAATGTAAATGAGTTGGTTCAGTAGTATCAGGAGAGCCACTGCTGCTGCTTGCTGCACTTGGGGTATGTGGAGTCTGAGGGGTGTTACTTGGAGCAGTGGGTGTGCGTGGGCAGAGATCATTGTTGTTTGTTGTCGAGTCTATATTATCTCCTAAATCACTAGGTATAGTAGCATCTCTCTGATTTGGTATATGTATAGCATGTGCAGCTGAGTGAAGGGCTGACAATTCTGCTTCTAACTGGCTTGGAAGTTTAATGCCTGCAACACCCTTTTTAGGAATGGAGCTGAGATCTCTCTTTATACGACGCCGTCTACTAGGATCATTGCGTCTCAGTTGCACCATTCGATCAAAGTCAATGATGTAAAGAAATCCTGCGACTAAAACTTCACAAGCTCGCTGACCAGAACCATAAGCAGCCTCTAACTCGTAACTTGTACGTTCGTCATACTGCCACCAGCCTGCAAAGTAAACGACAAGTTACAAATAGAGTTTCCTCGGCACAACATAATATACTATGTACAAAGTCCATTTTGTCATACTGTACTCCTATATGTTTGTGACAGAAGCCAAAATTTAGCATACAAGAGATGAACTGTCTTGACTTCATATTTTAATTAATCTTGAAATTTGCCGATATACAGTGAAACACTTTGTTATATACTGGTGTGTACTTTATAAGTCTCATTGTGAGAAAATTTATGCTGACCCTCCCAATGGTATAGTGACAATTTGGCTTTACAATTTGTTCTACAGTGGTTCTTGTCTAGTCTGAAGGGTTTCTTAAGCACCCATTGCCTTATTTCAGTAGTCTTGGAGATTACCCCTGCTTCTGGTTCTCGGGAGTTCAGTTCACTTGTGGTTTGCTTTCTGGGTACTTTGTCCATGCATGTAGATGGTCTTTCCCTCCCATGGGATATTGGGAAGAACAAATGGAATATGTAAATATGATCATCCCAGAAAGTGCAGAAACCTTCTTAGTACAGTACAGTACAGGTAAATGTACCAAAAGCTGTGATTTCTTTCACCCAGAACTGTGCAAGAACACTTTAAATAAGAATGAATGTTTCAACACAATGTCCAACTTTTCATATAAAAGGTACCAGGCGAATAAAACCGACAGACCGCCTTGATGAAAGCAGCCACAATACTATTTACCAGGATGATTTTTTAGCAAGAGGAGGAGAAAAATGGCTAAAAATGTCCAGACTCTACCACCAACTCGGTCAAATGCTAGAGAGGACACAAACACAGTGGCCTCCCTACCAGAGCCTCAGATATTAACACCAAGTAAAGCATCCAGCACTTCCACAAACCTGATATTTTTATTTGCAAACATTCAGGGGTATAAAAACACACAAATCTAACAAAGTTCACTTTATAGCTGGCCTCCTACATGAGGCAAATGCAGTGTTTGCAACACTAACGAAAATCCGCACAAAGGACTACCATGATGGTAAAATATGGATTTTGGAGTACAATCTTTTCAGATGCGACAGGAAACAGGTTACAGGGTGGGGTCAGCCTGTACATCAAAGACACACTCATCTGCACTGAGCTGCTAAATACCACAAACGATATGGTGTAAGTGCTGATAATCAAACTAGAGATCCTAAATGTAGTTATTGTCCTTGTATATAAGTCACAGGAGGCAAATCCTCAGCAGTTTAAAGACAACTAATGAAAATAGAACACCGCTTAGAAAATCTCACAAATCCAGCCCCAAACATCATCCTGCTTGGGGACTTCAATCTACAGCACCTGAAATGGAAGACCCTAGCTAATACAGTTATACAGTATCCGAGAGAATACCGGGAAGTACCCTAAATGAACAGTCACATGCAAATGACCTGCTACGGATGTGCAACAGATTTGTCTTAAACCAGCAAATAGTAGAACTAGAAAGGAGAACACGCTGGACCTCATTTTCACTAATACAGTACAGTAATGATTAATTGATCAGGAACATAATGATGGACAAATACCGGTTACTCAGATCACAAATTAATTGAAGCTCTGACAAGCATGGGGAATAGACTTGCAAAACCAGTCCTGAATCCCAGTGGAGGAGAATTCAGCAAATTCAATTTCAATAATAAACAGATAAACTGTGATTTTTCATGAATGTGATTACCAACACCAAATCATATATCAGATATCACCCTATTCCCACTGGATTTTGAAGAAGCCATAGACAGTATGCCTATGCACTCTGCACCAGGCCCTGATTCTTGGAACTCTATATTCATCAAGAACTGTAAAAAACAACTAGCACTTCACATTCTTTGGAGACAGAGCCTAGATACTGGCATTATCCCTGACATACTAAAAACAGCAGAGATAGCACCACTCCACAAAGGAGGAAATATGGCAGAGACAAAAAAATACAGACCAACAGCACTAACATCACACATCATAAAAATCTTTGAGTGCTAAGAAGAAAGATCACAAAATACTTGGAATCACAGAATCTCCATAACCCTGGACAACATGGTTTCAGAACAGGGCATTCTTGCCTATCACAGCTGCTGGACCACTATGACATGGCCTTAGAACTGTGCTTGCTCCAGTACTTTTTCTCATTCTCATATCAGACATAGACAAGGACACAATCTACAGTACTGTATCATCCTTTGCAGATGACACTAGGATTTTTATGCGAGTAGACAACATACAGGATACGGCAAACTTCCAATCAGATGTAAATCAGGTCTTTCTATGAGCTACAGAAAATATGGTGATTAACGAAGGTAAGTTCCAGCTCCTGCACTAGGATAAAATGAAAATATAAAAACGAAAACCACCTACAAAACGCAATCAAATCATAACAGAATGAAAAGACAACGTAAAGGATTTGGGTGTACTCATGTTGGAAGACCTTACCTTTAAAGAACACAATAAAGTAGCCATCATATCTGCAAGAAAAATGACAGGTTGCATAACAAGAACCTTTCACACTAGAGATGCTATACCAACGAAGATACTTTTCAAAATGCTAGTGCTCTCTTGAGTGGAATACTGTTGCACAATGACAGCCCTTTCCAAGCTTGAGAAATTGCTATCCTGGAGAGCGTGCAGAGATCCTTTACTGCTAGAATCCACACGGTAAAACATCTAAACTATTAGAACCAACTAAAATGCCTAAATCTGAATCCCGAGCGCAGGTGGGAGATACATATAATAATTCACACGTGAAAAATAGTAGAGGGGCTGGTCCCAAATCTGCACACCAAAATAACACCACACAAGATCAGAAGGCATGGCAAGATGTACAGAATATCCCTGTTGAAAAGCAGAGGTGCAATAGGTACTCAGAAATATCAACATCAGAGGTCCGAGACTGTTCAACATGCTTCCACTACACATAAGGGGCATAACTGGCCGACCCCTCAGTGTGGGGGTCCACACTGCTTATCAAGTTCCAAGAGAACTTGATAAGCATCTCCAAAGGATACCTGATCAACTAGGCTGTGACTCATACATCAGGCTATGAGCAGCTTTGTCCAACAGCCTGATTGACCAGTCCAGCAACGAGGAGGCCTGGTCGAGGATGGGGTCCACAAGGACGCTAAGCCCCAAAATCCTCTCGAGGTAACCTCGGGGGTAGGTAACCTCTCATTTATCCTAGCTGGCATTTTTTGTGTGCCCTTTCAATTTGGCTCATCCTCATGTAATGCTGAGTGTCTCAACTTTATTTGCAGCTTTCCGTATAGTGAAGACTTATTTTTTTCATCAAGGTGTTCATATTTTAGCCAGCAGATTCCTTACACACCTTCCTTAACCTTTGCAACAATTCCTCGCTTTGAGGTAGTCTGGCTACAGCAGGACGCCTTCAGTTTCCCTGCAACTGATCTTGTCTTCTGGCTTTTGCTTCCTACTTGTCACCCAAGAAATTTTGTTCCTTATCTTTCATATGTTACCAGAGAAAGACCGCTATGAAATGGGACACGTGGTGTGTAAAGAAACTTCCCTTTCTGAGTGGTCCCTTGACAGCTTTCCATTCCTGCCCTTGGAATTCCTTCTTCCTGAAGTTCACTGGGGTGGGCTGGGCTCGTAGTAAGGTGTCGTCCTCTGACTAGACACCTGATAGTGTGTAGTCAGGTAGTGGGTGCTCTGCTTGCTTCAGTGTTTGGCAACTTATAATTGACTAACCTAAGAGGAAATTTTATAATTTTGAAGTGTTTCTGCTTGTCATAGCATGCAGTTTTTCTCTGCTGTAATTTATCCCTGACCTCCACTTGCTTCCTGCCCAGATAAAGGAGATAAATTTGGAACAAGTAAATGTCCTGGTGGATAGAATGATCCAATGCCTGGTGTGATCTTGATGTCCTTACAGTAGACATACAAGCTTGTGAAGTTACCATGAAGAGAGTTCAGAGAGGAACATTTCATTACACTCGGCACATTTTTACACTTGTAAAATAAGCTAAAAAGCATAAGCTGCTATGTTTATCCTTTGTTTATGAGCTTATTTTATTTTAGGATCTTTACCATAGGTCATAAAATTAAAAACTAGTAGAGAAAAGGGGCAACAGTGCATTTGCAAAGTACTGTATTACTAAATAATTTTAAAGATATAAATCATAATTCATTATATAAAATTTCCATCTACTGGGTGTCACTTACATGTATTATTAAAATCATTACAGTACACAATTGTGGCAAGGTGTCATGTAGCTGAAGTTCCACAGAAAGCATCCAATTATCCATAGTTTACTCAACAATAACAGACTACACTACAGCTGGATGGACAGGTGAAATTACTCTTCCATGCTTAATGAATCAAGCATATCAAAAAGTATTCTCAAGTCCTGTATATTCCTGTAGCTACCTCTATGCCTAAACTTTAGGCAAAAGATTTTCTAAAGAGAAATTTAAATAAAAAGAATAGATTCCCCATGTGTGGTGTTAGTGACTAGTGTCCAGGAGGATAGAAGCAACTCCTTATACCATCCAGACAATAACACCCCCACACTCCTCACGTTTGGCTTCAATTACTAATTATGTCGCATTGTATTTCATTGTGCAAACACTTAAATATTCATCAGTTAATTCATTAAAAATTATGTACATCTTGCACAGTGCAATATACAGATTGAGAGCTTGTGGATCACACACAGTATCTCAAGGCAAAGATACAGTACTGCAGAAAGTCTTGATTTATGAGAGGCAGCACCTGTTTATATTTAACCACATTCACTCGTATATACTTTACATTTAACCCCCATTTGGAATAATTCAATATTCCCACATCTATTATGTTATTTGGAAATCTGCTCCATAAATAAACAAACCTTGTTACACAAAATATTTATTCCCAGCAGACCAGGATATTGCCAGAAGAATCCATCAATTGAACGAGATACCGTACCCCAGCTGATGTGCACACATAACTTGGGGTGGTAACCCATCTCATAGGAAGCTATGAGTAGCTTTATCATCACTGGTAAAAGCAATTAAG